AAACTAGCTGCAAGCCACCTGCAGGGTCAGGCCAAAGGGCACTCCGCGAGGCCTACAGCTCTGCGCCATCCAGTGCACCCAGTCTAAAACTGCAGCAATGTCCCTAGAGGGACGCTCTCCCATTATGGTCCTTTGTGCCGTCAACACCGCCCTCGGTAAGCTTGGTGGGTTTCAGTGCGAATCCCCAGCGACAACCAAAAGCTGGTTTATACGCATACAGCAGAAAGAGGCAGAAATAGACGGCACCACTCCGGATCTTCCCTCCAAAGCAGCCATTTTCTCCTGGGGAACTGATCTCTGTAGTTGGACGATCAAATGTAATACCAGGAGATCCCAGGTCCCACCTGGAAGGAGGAGGGAACTCATCTTGCACTTCCTGCAGCAAACCCAAAGGAGGTCATTCCCTCTCGCCCTGGCTTAGAAAGCGCTGTGACAAATGGAAAGCAGGTGGCAAGATCTCGTGCCTTTCCCTGATGTGCTAGGTTTCTAAATGCAGGAAAGTTATTTTTTTCTACTAGGGACAGCATTCGAATGGAGTTTGGGAGGGGAGTTCTTACCTGACCTCATTTGTACAGAACGCGGATCACCAGCTTACCCGAAGGGAGCACACACATGCAAGGATTAAGTTACCCCTGGGCAAAAGGGCTTGCCAGGTATCAATTTAGCTTTGGGCTCTGTTTGGCATAAAGACCTCTCTTCCTGCACCCACCCCACTGGTGCAACATTACGGATGAGAAAGTCGGGTGCAAGGCGAGTAGCCATTTCCTTAAACGGCACACGTTGTTGCTAAGTTTGAGAATGGTAACCTGCATCGGTCAAAATCCCCTGTCCTGGAGCAGAGTCAAACAAATGCCTCCCCTCTCCAGCTCCGAAACCCGTGCTGATGACAACCGGGCCAGGTTCGCCACGCGAGCCACTGCTTGCCGTGCCACGACTTGGACCAGGGCAGCCAAGCAGGTGGAGGATCGGTGCCCCCTGCAGCCTCCCTGGCTTGCATCGCCACCAGAGCAATACCTTGAGCCAGGCCTGCGAGGAAGGACATTTCCCATTTGATATTTCGCACCCAGCCGGGTTACTTCTTATTTATCGTGTGGCAACACCTCACCAGATCCCAAACTAGCTGCAAGCCACCTGCAGGGTCAGGCCAAAGGGCACTCCGCGAGGCCTACAGCTCTGTGCCATTCAGCGCACCCAGTCTAAAATTGCAGCAACGTCCCTAGAGGGACGCTCTCCCATTTTAGTCCTTTGTGCCGTCAACACTGCCCTCGGTAAGCTTGGTGGGTTTCAGTGCGAATCCCCAGCGACAACCAAAAGCTGGTTTATACGCATACAGCAGAAAGAGGCAGAAATAGACGGCACCACTCCGGATCTTCCCTCCAAAGCAGCCATTTTCTCCTGGGGAACTGATCTCTGTAGTTGGACGATCAAATGTAATACCAGGAGATCCCAGGTCCCACCTGGAAGGAGGAGGGAACTCATCTTGCACTTCCTGCAGCAAACCCAAAGGAGGTCATTCCCTCTCGCCCTGGCTTAGAAAGCGCTGTGACAAATGGAAAGCAGGTGGCAAGATCTCGTGCCTTTCCCTGATGTGCTAGGTTTCTAAATGCAGGAAAGTTATTTTTTTCTACTAGGGACAGCATTCGAATGGAGTTTGGGAGGGGAGTTCTTACCTGACCTCATTTGTACAGAACGCGGATCACCAGCTTACCCAAAGGGAGCACACACATGCAAGGATTAAGTTACCCCTGGGCAAAAGGGCTTGCCAGGTATCAATTTAGCTTTGGGCTCTGTTTGGCATAAAGACCTCTCTTCCTGCACCCACCCCACTGGTGCAACATTACGGATGAGAAAGTCGGGTGCAAGGCGAGTAGCCATTTCCTTAAACGGCACACGTTGTTGCTAAGTTTGAGAATGGTAACCTGCATCGGTCAAAATCCCCTGTCCTGGAGCAGAGTCAAACAAATGCCTCCCCTCTCCAGCTCCGAAACCCGTGCTGATGACAATACTCCACTGAGTTAATTATTTATTTTTTGCAGGGATGCACCTTGTGGGGTACCTCCTCCATTTTGCCCTGCACCACAACCCTGCAAGGTAGGGTAATGAGAGGAAAAGTGTGTGCGACTGGCTCAACCAGTTAGCCAGCTTGCCCAGAAAGAGCACAGGGATATGGCTCTAAGTCGGGTTCGAATCCACCCACTCAAACCTGAGCCACCTTTCATTCTCTAGCCACCTCTCACCGACCTTGCAAGATGGTTGTTGTGGACAAAAAGGCCACTTGGAGCACTTGGGTGGAAAGCTATAAACTGCAGGCTTCTCGAAATGGCAGGTGGATTACTCTAAGCCTGAGTAAGGTTCCAACAAACAAACCAGGTGCTGCCAAAGAGGCTAAAAGACTTCACGATCCAGGGTGGTGGAGAGGTCAGCGCATTGGACGAGGATCTGGAGACCCAGGTTCGAATCCCTGCTCTGCCCTGGAAGCTCACTGAAGCACCGGGGCCCAGCCACAAACTTGGAGCCTAACCTACCTCACAGGGTTGTTGTGAGGATAAAACAGAACAACCTAAGCCGCTTTGATACTCCCCGGGGAGAAAGCTGGGGTATAAGACGAAGTAAATAAATAAATTTAAAATATACCACTCTCTTCATTTCCAGAGAAATGCACAAACGGCAACTTGACTGCGAGGTCGATTTCAACTCTTATCCCCAGGGAGAATTTACACACCCAATAAGTTAAGTGTTTCTACCAAGCACTGAGAAGGGTGGTGGTGGTGGTAGGGGGAGTCACGCATGAAGCCACCTTACACTGAATCAGACCCTGGGTCCATCAAGGTCAGTACTGTCCACTCAGACTGGCAGCGGCTCTCCAGGGTCTCAGGCAGAGGCCTTTCCCATCACCTACTGCCTGGTCCTTTTTAACTGGAGATGCCGGGGATTGAACCTGGGACCTCCCGCATGCCAAGCAGAGGCTCTTCCACTGAGCCACAGCCCCTCACCTAAGTCTAGCTCAGAGATGATGGGAAAAAAGGAAGATTTCCATCCCTTGGGCATTTTCTAACAGGGCATCAAGTGTTTGTTTCCTGGCTGCCGAGAATCTCATGAAACTTGTTCCTCTGGGCTGGACCCACCAAGCCCTGTGTGTGTCCTTAAAACAGACGCAGGGCCAGTGATCTGTTTGGTGTAGTGGTTAAGTGTGCGGACTCTAATCTGGGAGAACCATGTTCGATTCCCCACTCCTCTACTTGCAGCCGCTGGATGACCTTGGGCAAGCCATAGTTCTGTCAGAGCTCTCAAGGACAGTTCTGGAAAGGGCTCTCCCCGCCCCACCTACCTCACAGGGTGTCTGTTGTGGGGAGGGGAAGGGAAAGGAGATTAGAAGCCACTCTGAGACTCCTTTGGGTAGACTCCTAGTGGAGGGCAGGGTATAAATCCAATCTCCTCCTCTTCTTACTGGTTAAGAGATCCTAAGATGGCATTATATCAACTGGAATCATCTGTCGAGCTCAGAGGATCGAGTAAAATTCACAGTTGCACCACGGAAGGCTGAAGTCAGCATCCCCAGATACCAAAAGTGTACCTGTGCCCAGGTGCCTGTCGTTCCAACCCCTGGCAACACTGCTAGCTCCTCGGGGCAGGGACCGTTTTGCTTCAGTTACTCTGCAAAACGCCATGTTAAATGGCTAAGTATGAACCATTTCTCTTGCAGCTGATACAGCAATGAAAAACAGCCTCCCCCACCAAAGTTATGGCCAAAAGATCCCTTTAGGGGTAGAAGGCCCCCCCCTTTGCAAACCTTCACAGCTAGCAACACATCATATTACCAAACCCTCCCCTTCCTCCAAAGATGGGGAGAGTCCGGAGACTTCCCATCCCAACCTTGACTATGGAACCACCCTGTTTGGATCGAGGCCCATGGCCACGAAACTGGCAGGGAGACCCGAGTGTAGCTTTGAACCCGGGTCCCAAGCTTGGCACACAATCCAAACACTACACAGGATCCAGGCCAGGACTAAGCGGTTGAGTGTGGCATGTATTCAGCCACCCACTCTGCAATAATCCATCTGATTATTGGGTAGCTGCAGGGTCTACGCTCCTGCCTTTCCGATGCAGTGGGACTGGCAGAGTCTCGTGGGGACGCCTCTGCGCCGACGCAAAACACACACCATCTCATTCACAAATTGATTCTGCCTTGGATGCCACCTTAAGTCCATTCCCTGATTGCAGCACTTCTTAGCGCACTTTGCAGGGAGCCCCACTCATCCTATATCGTAAGACTCCCCAAACAGCCATCGATCTGAAATTTATCCATAGCTAAAGCCCACAGTACAAGTGATGTTCACCAGTTATATGTTGCAACACAAAACAGACCCGGTCACTGCCAAGAACAGGAAGCACGAACAGTGCAGGGAGCGGGCATTAGAATAATAAAACTAGTACGTGGATTTATAAAAATTAAGTGTATTTAAAGGTAAAGGTTCCCTTGCTCGAAAGCCAGTCGAATCCGACTCTAGGGTTGCGGTGCTCATCTCCGTTTCAAAGCCGAAGAGCCAGCACTGTCCAAAGACGTTTCCGTGGTCAAGTGGCCGGCATGACTAAACACCAAGGCGCACGGAACGCTGTTACCTTCCCACCAAAGTGGTACCTATTTATCTACTTGCAATTTCTTGCTTTCGAACTGCTAGGTTGGCAGGAGCTGGAACTAGAGACAGGAGCTCACTCCGTCTTGCGGCACCCGGGTCTCGAACTGCTGAACTACTGACCTTCCACAGCCTGCAGTTCAGCATCTTAACCACTTGAGCCACCGCTTTTTTGTCACTTTGGCGGGCAAAAGCCAGGGGGGCTTCAAGGTGCAAACGAGGGGCATGGCCCCGTACGCCCCCTTGCACGTGTTGTTGCTTTGAGGTGGTCAGTTGCGCCAAATACGTGCACGTCCAAGTGTAGAGACACAGACAAGAAGGTGAAACGTAAACCAAGCCAGAACGGCTGGTCAAAGGACGACTCACCAGAAGGCTTGCAGATCCCCGCCTGGCTGGGACACGGGACCCCAGAATGAAAAGGCTGGTTAGCAGCAGCTGCCAGTTTCTCTGAGGTAGTGTTGCTGGCATGATCCGGGGAGAGCGGCGGCGACGAGGACAAGGAGCACTGGGTCTGGCACCGCAGCTGCGTCAGGGAGTGGGGCATGCCCTGGTAGTGCCGCGTGGCGCTCAGGAGGTCGTTGAGGATCTGGAGGATGGTGCCGATATCCCGCCGGGGCCTCCCGCTGCTGTCTTGGCAGTTCGGGTGCAAAGTGCCTGCACAGGAAAGTGGGGTAGACCGCGACACGTCAGAGAACCAGAGTTCACCTATCCCACAAGGCAGATTTTTAAATCATGCTATCAAGCAGGTGGCTTCACAACACACAGAACCCATCTTATAGGGAGGATTAATATAGGCAGACAACTTCCAAGTAGGACTTTTTTAAAAAACCAATTAAGTTGCCAGCCCTCATGGTTTATTATTCAGTTTCAGTCGAACCATTAATGTATAATACATTGTCGAAGGCTTTCACGGCCGGAGCTCATTAGCTGTTGCAGATTTCCCGGGCTGTGTGGCCGTGGTCTTGGCATTGTAGGACCTGACGTTTCGGCAGCAGCTGTGATTGGCATCCTCAGAGGTAACAACACAGAAAGATGGAGTACTCTCTGTGTCAAGGTGAGAAGAAAAATGGTAGGCTGGTCATTTTCTTCTCACCTTGACACAGAGAGTACTCCATCTTTCTGTGTTATACCTCTGAGGATGCCAGTCACAGCTACTGGCAAAATGTCAGGTCCTACAATGCCAAGACCACGGCCACAGAACCCGGAAAATCTGCAACAGTTAATTTAATGTATACCTTTCTCCATTACTGATACATTCCCCTCTCATTTATCAGAGACTTTGAGAATATGAGGGGTGTGTGTGTTCATATGCATTGTTCCCTCTAAGCTGAGTTAGTGTGAGCTAGCTCACAGTTTTTTAGCCTCCGGCTCACACGTTTTTGCCTTAGCTCAGGAAGGAGGGCTCCAGAGCAAACTCATTTACGCAGCAGCCAAATCGCTCGCTCACAACTTTCATGCCAGTGGCTCACAAAGTAGAATTTTTGCTCACAAGACTCCACAGCTTAGAGGGAGCATTGGTTCAATCCTTCCTGAGCGGAGACAACAATGTGTGAGCCGGAGGCTAAAAAACTGTGAGCTAGCTCACTCTAACTCAGCTTAGAGGGCACACAGGTCATATGCCTACTTAAGGTCAGAAATGCTTGAAGAAAAAATCAGAGGCAGGACTTCAGACATTTTGTGTTAGGCCAGTTCAACTTGGTGCTTCCCAGAACTCTCTGGGCAGTGAGGCGTCCTCTAACCCCCCTTTTTATCCTGAGCAGTTTGAAGTTCAGAAGCAAAAGCCTGTGAAGAGGTCCTGCTTCTGCCTCAAACTGCAGGTAACCGGCAGTCCTCCGTTCATTTTGTGAGGTAAATGTTATCATGTCACTGGCTGCACCTTATCTTGTGGCACTTGAGTTCCACCTGTCGTGCAGCGCACACGACCCTTGCCATTCTGGTGCTGGAAAAGCTTCCCTGTACCAAGAACAGAGCAGACAGAAAAAGAAACGGGGCTACTGCACAAGCACGAGTCCGATTCAAACCTGCCTATTGCAACAACGCCCCCCCCCCCAGGGCTGTCATATAGAGGATGACACAGAGTTGTTTTCTGTTGCCCCAGAAGGTCGGACCAAAACCAACGGGTTGAAATTAAATCAGAAGAGTTTTCGGCTCAACATTAGGAAGAACACCCTGACAGTTAAAGCGTTTCCTCAGTGGAAGAGGCTTTCTTGGGAGTTGGTGGGCTCTCCTTCTTTGAAGGTTTTCAAACAGAGGTTAGATGGCCATCTGACAGCAATGCTGATTCTGTGAACTTAGGCCCATCGTGACAGGGAGGGGAGGAAGAGTTGCCTCAGTTGCCTCAGTGCTCAGTTCTTGTGGCCCTTCTTACATGTCCAGGGAAATGCTGATCACCACTTTGGGGTCAGGAAGCAGTTTTCTCCAGGCCAATTTGGCCAGGGATCCTGGAGGTTTTTTGTCATCTTCTGGGCGTGAAACAGTGGTCACTGCAGGTGTGGATGGGGAGGTGTTTGTGAATTTCCTGCATTGTGCAGGGGGTTGCCCCCCCGGTCCACCTGCCTCGGAGTCACCGGGGGTGGGTCGCTCTCCAGGCCTTCCCTCTGTAGCCAGGCACACAGAGGTTTTGGCTGTAGTGGGTGTGGCCAAACCTGAAGCCAGCCGGAATGTGCGTTCCTGCCCAAAAATAGCCCTGATTCATTATCAACATCTGCTTTTACTGCTTTTGTTTTTATTTCTGGCAGTCTTGTTTAATTAGCTGTTGCAGGTTTTCCGGGTTGTATGGCCGTGATCTTGGCACCGTAAGACCTGATATTTCGCCAGTCGCTTCGACAACATATAGTCTTATTTAATGTTCATAAAAAGCAAATGTGCGTATCGCCGAATAAAAACGTGTGTGACATTCGTTCACGCCTTGCGGTTCTCAGACATCCGACGTTTCCTCTTTGTGGCTCTTACGTTAAGCAAGTTTGGCCGCCCCTGGTCTAAACTCTGCACACTCCAGCACTGTGGAAAGAGGCCAGCAAAAATCCAAGTTCCAGGAGAAATAAACGTTAAGTAGAGGCATACCGGAGAAAGTTCCCGAGAAGACCCCTGGGGCGTGGTTAACAAAGCTTTCAATCACGGCGCCGGGTTTGCGGGAACGCTGGGCCGGGCCAGTACCAGGCAAGCCATTACTTCGCGCCGTGCAGTCCACCTAGGGGAAAAGGGGGGGGGGGAATTAGCACACAGTGAAGACCTTCAAGTGATACCCTCTTGATACTGGGTGCCTCCTTCCTCAGACCCTGACCTCATCTGAACACTGCACTCCCATGGCCGGAGTGAGATTCTATTTGTTGTTGTTGTTGTTGTTTTTGGGGGGGAGAGGACAGAGGGTTGAGAAACAGGAAAAGGGGGAGCAGAGGAGGAGATGGTAGAAGGTCTTACAAGCTGGAAGTCATTGTCTGACTTAAAGGTCCTCCTCCTCAATTCACCCAGAACCCGCTTGGGGGTGGGGGAACAGTGGGATAAGAAAATATTTAAATACCGAACAGATCCCAGAATGATGGAGTATGGTTATTATGTAGTGGAGGAGAAATTAAACTCTACACCTGCTCAAGAGCACACTTGGCTTTTACCTAATCAAGATCCAGCAGTGATGTGGATAGCTAGGTTAATTGCCGGTTTGGAGGCGAGCCTTGGGAACTAGAGAAATGTCCTTTGATGGGGGGTTAGGGAACCGCAGGTGGAAAGGATGGAGGGACTAGTAACTTGGATTTTAAAAATGGGTGCTGGGTTTTCCAGGGGATACACAAAGAGAATCCCTGCCTATTCCCAATCTACAGAACACTGGGGCTCAAATTCTATTGTTGGTGAGGGTCTGCTTTGGCTTTGAGTATAAAGGTATTGCCAGCCAGTAATGGCAAAGTTCCCCAGAGGAAGCTATGTCAGGAGTTGGGCTCTCTTCCCAGGGTGGGGGGAGAAGGAAGAAATGGAACCCGGGCATGACCTTTCCAGACCCACCCGCCCCAGCCAGCTTTCGCTGACAACTTCAGTGCTATAATTCAACCCAACAAGACCCGCACTGACCTCGGAACACGAGGAGACAACGCCGCTGCTGCTGACCGCTTGCGCGCTGGCCCCGTGTGACCGGAACATGCCTGCCGTGACCGGAGTGGGGTGGGCAGCGTTACAGTACATAGGCGTGGCCTGAGCCGACGACGAAGGGGCAGCGGGACTCGAGGCTGGGCTCTGCTGGCAAGTGGGCACCACAGGGACCCGGGCAAAACCGGATGCGGGGCTGCTGCCGCTGCCTCCGTGGAATGTGCGGCAATTGGAGGCGGCCGGGCTGGCAACCGGCACCGGCGTCGTGGCCGTTCCCCCGCCGGCTGGCTCTCCGCGGCTGGCGATCACGTGGCGGTGCTGGACTTGGCCGCCGTTCTGCTGCGCTGCCAGCTGCAGCTGGACGAACATCATGTGGTCCCCGACGCGCAGGGCGAGAGTCAGGGGAGACCTTCCTGAGAGGAAGTCATTTACCTGTGGGGAAGAAGAGGGAGCGGCGTCAGGGTGAGGAAGGAGCGGTGCGGACACTATGGTGGGCGGGTGGGATTGAAGTTAGCCCAACCTGCAGTGCAGAAGAGAACCCCCCCTCCATTTAAGGCGCAGATGGGCAGCGCCGAGTGCACAGCTCAGCTCAAGAACCTTGGCACTCCCCTTCAAGCAAGTTTCTAGCCCTCAAGGTGGGAGAGATACAGGGCGTTTGCAAGCCCACGGGGGACTATGTGAGGAACTCTGATTTCCTTTCGATTTCCAGCCAGGGATTGGGAAACAGGATTAGTGATGCTTGTTGACGGGGATCGGTCAGAACCAGGCATAAGTTTCCACACTGGCCGGGGCACCTTTTGGAAGTCTCGACCGGCAGTTTGGCAGGCCGGAGACTGCACAGGGGCAGCTGCATCAGGACTAACAATCCTGGGAAGAAAGTCAGGAGTCCAACGGCACCTTTAGGACCAGCAAAGTCTTATTCAAGGTGCGAGCTTTTGCGTGTGCATGCACACTTCGTCAAGCGAAGTGTGCATGCACGCGAAAGCTGGCCCCTTGAATAAAACTTTGTTGGTCTTAAAGGTGCCGTTGAGGACCAGCAAAGTCTTATTCAAGGTGCAAGCTTTCGCGTGCGTGCACACTTCGTCAGGAGACGTGTGCATGCACGTGGAAGCTCGCCCCTTGAATAAAACTTTGTTGGTCTTAAAGGTGCCGTTGGACTCTTACAACTTTGCTCTGTTGCTTCAGACCAACACTGCTCCCCACCTTTATCCTGGGAAGAGCTACACCAGCAGAATTTCTGCCTGCTAGGCTGAAGTGCAAACTGCTTCCTAGACTGAAACGTGGCGTTCTGCGTTTCCTTGGGGCTCCACCGCAGAAGGCAATCCTTACTGCCCCATATCACATACTGGCCAAGCTCTGCCAGGATTGGGGTGGGGCGGGGAACACACTAAATATTTGCCTAGCCAGGTGGGGCCTGCTTCTTTAGGGTGGAGCGTGGGCCAAAATTTTTTGAGAGACAGAGGAACACAAATGCAACTGGTTACCAAGCTGCATTGGGGGGGGGGGGCCCTCCTTTTACCCCCCCCACCCAGAGAAAACTATAACAGACTGTCTGCAGTGTTCCCTCTAAGCTGAGTTAGTGTGAGCTAGCTCACAGTTTTTTTATCCTCCGGCTCACACATTTTCGTCTTCGCTCAGGCAGGGACGGCTCCAGAGCAAACTAACTGACGCAGTAGCCAGATAGCCCGCTCACAACTTGAATGCCCGTCGCTCGCAAAGCAGAATTTTTGCTCGCAAGACTCCACAGTTTAGAGGGAGCCCTGCCTGTGTGGTATAGTGGTTCGACCATGATCTGAGAGAGCAAAAGAGAAGTTTCCACTCTGTGACGAAATCGGCTGCAAGACTGTGGGTCACCTACGGTCCCCTCTCTGCGTGGAAGACCTCACAGGGCTGTTGTGAGGTTTAAAGAGGAGGAAAGGACAACCACGTATGCCATCCTAACCTCCAGCGACAGGTTTTAACCCCAGGCTTGGGATTTGTAATTATGAAGCAGACAAAGTTCCTGGACCTCATGATTACAGAGAAAGGCTCCTATTGCCCGGGATCCCTCCCTGGCACACGGTAAACACAAATGCCTCTCGGGCACGTGCCAAGGGTGTTCCCTGCCACCGTTCTGGCGCTTGGTCTGCAGCAACTTACAGCAAATTGTTCGAGTCATTTCGACTTCTCATCAACCGCAGCTTACGAAACCTCCCGTTTCCTTGTCATGCTGTCTCACGCGCCACCCCCCCTTACAAAAAATTCTACCGGGCCTACCCCCCGCACAAGAGAGTCCCCTCTCCCCTCCCCACACTGTGCTTACGGGAATTTTTCTCCAGCCTCTCCCCGGCCCAACTGTGCCCCTGTTGCACGTCTCAGAAGGGGACCTAAAGTTTCTGAGAAACCCGTGGGAACAGGCAGCTTCGAGCGGCAGCCCGAGAGAGGCCACCGTGCGTGCCGGATGGGAGGCCACAAGAGGAAGAGGTGGGCGGGAGGCGATGCGGCAGGTTTCGGACACCATCTCGATCTTTGCAAGAAGGAGAAACGTCTTCTTTGCATGAGACCAAGAAGACCCTGGGCGCAGAGCGCAAAGGCAGAGCTAAGTGAAGGGGGTGCATGTGGGGGGCTGAACTCTCAGGCCAGCCACCAATTGCGTCAGGAGTCTCGGTCTTTGCAAGAAGGAGAGGAGAAACGTCCTCTTTGCATGAGACCAAGACCCTGGGCGCAGAGTGCAGAGTGCAAAGGCAGAGCAAACTGAAGGGGGTGCATGCGGGGGGGGGGCTGACCTCTCAGGCCAGCCACCAATTGCGTCAGGAGTGTCTCTGGGCATGCACAGACTGCACCCCCCACAATATGTGGGTAAACAGGCTTCACCCCACCCCCCCAAATCAAAACAAGACACGCGCATCTACAACTGTTCGGTTTTGCCTTCCGCTCTGTGGCCCGAGATGGCCGACGGTTCGCTCCACTACAAACAAAATCAAGACGGGCCGTTACAAACATGCTTCAGGAAAAGACACCCCCCTCCCCGTTTGTTCTCTGTGGCCCGAGATGGCCGACGGTTCACTCCACTACAAACAAAATCAAGACGGGCCATTACAAACATGCCTCAGGAAAAGACACCCCCCTCCCCGTTTGTAACTCTTGTTCAGTCCCCCCACCTCAAAATCGGGGCAAAATCGGTTCCATTTTCCTTTAAAGCACCATGCCCACTGAATCAGCCCAAGGCAAATGACATTCCCCCCACCCCAAAATCGGGGCAGAGACCTGCGCTGTTTACTTCCATTTTCCTTTAAACCACCATGCCCACTGAATCAGCCCAAGGCAAATGACAACACCGGCCTGCGCAATGAACCTGAGGAACTGCCTGCCACAAGACGGCACAGAGGTGACCCTGGGCTTAAAAATGGCCCTATAGCCCCAAACATTTTATATGGAATCAGTGGGAGGAGCCCTTGCCTAGCAAGTACGGATTCTCACCACACCTGGGCACAGAACCTCTATGGACAGCAGTAGTCTACCTCTGTCAGATGCCAGGGATATATAGCGAGAAAAACGCCAGCCCAGCACATTCCGGCCCTGTTTCCTGGAAGTATCTGCCTGGCTTATATTTACTTCATTGATACCCTGCCGTTTTGACCAGTCGGGACCCAGAAGAGCTGACATCCTTCTCCTCTCCTCTGTTTTACCCTCACAACAACCCTGTGAGGTTGGTTAGGCTGAGAGTGTGTGACTGGCCCAAGCTCACCCAACAAGCTGCCATAGCAGAATATTTCAGAAGGCAGCCATGCGGGACTGCAATAGGAGAAGAAAAAGAGAAGAGATTGGATTCATACTCCACCCTTCACTAACCAAAGGAGTCTCAGAGCGGCTTCCAATCCCTTTCCCTTCACCTCCCCACAACAGACATCCTGTGAGCAATGCTTCCTCTAAGCTGTGGAGTCTTTGCGGGAAAATTCTACTTTGTGAGCAACTGGCATTAAAGTTGTGACCGAACGATTGGGCTACTGCGTCAATTAGTTTGCTCTGGAGCCCTCCTCCCTGAGCGAAGACAAAAATCTATGAGCTGGAGGCTAAAAAACTGCGAGCTAGCTCACTCTAACTCAGCTTAGAGGGAGCACTGCCTGTGAGGTAGGCGGGGCTGAGAGAGCTCTTTTGAGGACTGCCTGTGAGAGAACAGCTCTGAGAGAACTTGTGACTGACCCAAGGTCACGCCAGCAGCTGCATGTGGAGGTGTGGGGAATCAAACCCGGCTCTCCCTGATTAGAGTCCGCGCACTTAACCACTACACCAAACAGATCACTGGCCCTGGAGGAGTGGGGAATCAAACCCGGTTCTCCCAGGTTAGAGTCCGTGCTCCTAACCACAACACCAAACTGGCTCTTTTTTGACACGGATGGCAGAATGGTGATTCGAACCTTGGTCCCCGGGACCCTAGACGAAGCACTACACCACACTGTCTCTCTGATGCCCAGTTCCCCATTTGCTCGGATGATCCCTGGCGATGCACCAGGTCTGAGGAGAGGGCCAGAGGAGGGCCGCGGGAGCGCCAAGGCCGCTCCCACCCCCCAAAACCAGTCACGAATCTCTCTCTCTCTCTCTGACCAGCCACAAAGGCCTCTCCACCGCTCCGCTTCTCCTCCCCCCCCCACCCCAGTCACGATTCCTGCCTTGAGTCCCTTGCGCACAGCGCCCGCCCCCGCCGGCTCAACAAAAGCCCGCTGGGCGACAACCAAACCGGCACTTCCAGGGAGCGATGAAATAAAAAAACCGAAAACAAGAGAGGGTGGGGGGAAAGGGGGGAGGGCTGCGGGAGAGACAGCAGCTGGGGCAGTCCCCCCCCCATGCAAGCCCATCTTTGGTGGGCAGGGTGGCTTGCGCATCCCTCCCCCGTCCCCCCCTTTTCTTCCGGGCTGAATGGAAGGCTTTTCTTTGTTCTCATCCAACACAGCTGTCACCCAGACATTTGCATTACCATATGCAAAAAAGAACAAGAAAAAAAAAAGAGCGCTTGCAGGATCAGAGAAGGTGCTGCGCTCGCCCTCACCCCCTTCCCAACCACTTTGCGGTTCGCTTGCACCCACCACCTCCTTGAACGGTTTTTCTTCGGTGTTGGGGGGGGGGAAGAAGAGGCAAGGTTTGCCGTCCCCCCCCCCTACCCAAGGCTAGACAGGGACCTTCGCTTCTCAGAATCCCCTACTGCATTCTTGCAGCCCCAGGCAAAGCGGTCTTGCAGTTTAACAGTGAAGATCCACCCTGCAGGGTTGTTGTGAAGGCAAACACAAGCGAGAAGCCCCCCCCGTGCAGACCGGCACCGGCATGAAACATCCCCGTGGTTGCCAGTAACGGCTGAACAACAAGTAATGTTGTGGTAGCTGTTCTCCCAAGGGAGGGCTCAAAAGCCATTCCGGTGCCAAGAAATAACAAGGGCGCCTTTGGACATGCACAGAGAG